CTACTCTGGAAAAGAGCTTATCTATTACCAACTGTTAGAAAAACAGGAGTTAGGGGCGCCTGGGCGGCTCAGTTGGTTAAGCATCTGCCTTCAGCTCAGGTCATGATCTCAGGGTCCTGGGATCGAGCCCCACATCGGGCTCCCCGCTCGGAGGCGGGGGGGTGGGGGGTAGTCTGCTTCTCCCTTTCCCTCTGCCCCTCCCCCACCTCACGTGCTAATAAATAAATAAAATCTTGAAAAAACCCAAACAAACAGGAGTTAAACAAGGAATGAAGGAAATTAGGAACCATACTTCATCCCCATCCAAACTCCTTCTCAGTCAGTCCTTTTCCTGTTGGGGAACACCTGAACCAGTGGCTCTAGGCAGACAATATTTGTTTAACTTATTTCTTCCATGCCCAAGAGAGAGAGAAGACTTTCTTGTATGAACTGGGATCAGGAGACAGAATGGAAAAGGAATGTATGTTGAATTCACTCAAAGCCTAGCTTCTGTTGAAAAGGAAAATGCTTGTCAAAGTAGCTAAAGGACCTAAAAAAGACACTGACCACTCCAAATTTACTGCCAGAACCAACGCATGGTAGTCTCATCTGCCTTTAATTGCAGGAAACCAACATCCTTAGCAGTGTCCCTGGGAAAATACAATAAAAACACCATAATATTCAATACTGGAAAAAAACTCACCTATTTAGTCTCCCTACTTGTTGATCCTACCACTATCCTGGAAAACTTCACGATCATTGTGGAAAACCCAGGCATGACTTGAGAATCACCAGTCCCGACCTCCTCAACTCAAGTGGCCTTTGCCTCCTCTCTGGTTTAGTTCCTCACACCTACACCCCAGACACAGTTACCACCTAGAGCTGCTCCACATTACAACTCTTGAACTCTTAAGAGCCTCACCCCTGCCCACAACCTCACCACTCACCAGCCCATTCATGCCCCCCTTCATTCACAGTCCATCTGCTTTTTTATTTCAGAGATCTGTACTCTTCACACCCCATTTTCTCTAGACCAACAAGCTCTTCTTTCACCAAAATCCTGAATTCCTTTGTATATCAATCCACCTATTGCACACACCAACTAGCTTTCTGCTCCCCATAAAAATGCCAGTAGCTTACTGCAAACGGATGTTACTCGAGCCAGAGCCTCCAACTTCAATCAGGCAGACTCTCATCAGTCTTTTGCTTGTTCTTGGTCAGCATCTCTCTCATATCCCGGATGCCAGCACTTTCCTCAAGCCCACACAGCCCCTCCCTCCCATTCAATCCCTAACCTCTTCTTCTCAAGGACCACCCAGGACCCGGCCCATCTACTTCTCCAGTCACCCCAACCTCCGTTTTAACCTTCTCATAATACCGACTTGCTTACAGTGGTTAAAACATGGGCTCTAGACCTAGGTTTGAGTCTAGTTCCATTGTTTTGTAACCGTGGGTAAGTCAAGTTAACATCATTGAATCTCGGTTTTCTCTTCTATGAACTGAAGGTACAACTGTAGTTTCTTGGCACACTGCTGGGCACGTGGTACTCCCTCAATAAAGTTAGCTATCAACATAAGGCTGTTCCTGTGCTCCTCATGCTTCCTGCTCTGCCTGGAATGCCCTTTCTCCTGCCTAGCTAACAACTGGTACTTCCCTTTTAAGACAATTCAGTCAGATGTCATTTTGGGGAAGTTTTCAGTGAAAAGTCGCTTCCTCCCACTGCCCCCAGAGTGAGTGAAGTGCCTCCCTTCTGTCTCCCAATATGGACTATGAAGAACTTAAGGATAAAAAAAAATCACACTTTTCTCATTTCTGTATTCCCTAGCACAGAACCTGCTACATAATAGACACCTAATGAATTATTCAACTGAAGTCTAATTGTAAAGTAATGATACCTCAACATTATCTTAAAGGATATGATTTTCTCACCATTGTGATGCACTAGAGCCCCATGGTCTATCTTCTTTTTCATGTCATATATGTGAATTGTTTCATCTTTGCTCCCAGTGACTACAAAACGACTATTTACAGCCACCGCCGACAAGGAGGCAGTATGGGCATGGTGAGTGAAGTCAGCCACAGGAGTCCATTTTTGCTGAAGAGTAAAACACACAATCAATGTCACAATCATATCACAGTTCTCTAGAAACACATAAGCGATTCCACAACTCATGAAAACTACCAGTAGATACTTACGAACAGAGAAAAAATTATGCAATGATAGTAGATTAAGAAAAACAAAGAACCTGAAAAATAAGGCAGGCAGCAAGGAAATCAGAAGGCAATACTGGGTATCATGACTCCAAAACAATTATGGAGACATAATTGTTTGTCCTTAATTGACAATTAAGGTCCTATCCAAATCCTTAACTGCTTAATATTTACTTATATGTGAGACTTGCATATTGTTCATTCATTCAAATGTTCAGATTTTGAATTGAATTTATTCATTCAAATACTAAATGACTACTGTGCGCTTGGCACCATTTTAGACAGTTGATACATAGCAGTGAAGAAAAGAAAGCCCTTATTCTAATAGAACTGCCATCCCTGTGGGAGAGACAAACAGTAAACAAATATGTCACATACAGATGAGTATAATGACAAGTCTTTTTTTTTTTTTAAGATTTTATTTATTTATTTGTCAGAGAAAGCGCAAGCACAAGGAGGGGGAGCGGCAGGCAGATCCTGGGATCATGACCTGAGCCAAAGGCAGACGCTTAACAACTGAGCCACCCAGGCGCCCCTAATGACAAGTCTCATAAAGAAAAATAAACAGGATGAAGAGTATGCTTCCTTCCAATAGTACCAATATAAGCCCTAGAGAATGACCAATGATGAGGTCTCAAGAACTCTATGCTTATTGATAATGCAACTTTTGATTGAGTCAGATTGGTTGAGTGCAAAGAATGACTGACAGCTGAATACATATACACACCTCAAAGTGAAGGAGATGCATCAAGACGTATTAGCAAAACAAACACACCAAAGGAAAAAAAAAAAACCCATCACACCTCTCTGAACACACTTAAGATGTGTTACTGCAAAGTAATTTCTTTTTTTTTTTAGATTATTAAAAAAAAAAGATTTTATGTATTTATTTGACAGAGAGAGACACAGCGAGAGCAGGAACACAAGCAGGGGGAGTGGGAGAGGGAGAAGCAGGCTTCCCGCCGAACAGGGAGCCCGATGCGGGGCTCGATCCCAGGACCCTGGGATCATGACCTAAGCCAATGGCAGACGCTTAATGAGCCACCCAGGCGCCCCTGCAAAGTAATTTTTAAATAACTACACCAACAGACACTGCTTCCATCAACCAGGATCAAGAGAGCCTCTTCTGAGTAAAGGCACAATATTCCTTAGGGGCTGCTATGGCCATAAATCAAAAATAACCTTTGCTTGTGCATATTACAGAAGGAATGTTGATTATCTGAGCTACTGTCTGTCTAGGTTTAGCAGTAGTAGTGGACAGTTTAAGAGCTTCGTGTTTCAGAGACACCTGGGGACTTGAATCCCAGGTCTCCCAATTATTAGCTGTGTGACCTTGAGCAGGTCACTTAAGGGATCTCAACTTCAGGCTCCTCATCTGTAAAACAGGGATAACGGTATCTGCCTCAGGGGGTTGCTGTGAGAACTACTATGTATCTGGAACAATGAGCAACTTTTTTAGAATGAGTAACACAATCAATAGCATCATCTTTAAGCATACAAGAGATGTCATCTTTCAGCCAAAAGCAGATAGAAACAAAATAAACAAAACTAATTGCCAAGTTATATACTTCCAGTTTTCTGGTTCATTCAAGACTGACACCTCGACTTCATAAAGAAGTACTGATAAAAATAGGTTTCTAAGAGATTCGTAGATTTGCTTAGGGAAAAATTTACCGGGTTAAAAGTTAAATCTTATTTCTAGTCCTGGATATGTCCTAACCTCCTGTTTCACTAGCGGTAATTTACTTAACCTTTTTGCTCACACATCTAGTAAAAATACTTTATTTTGTTGTAATTTTCTCCATGCATTTGTCTCCTCTGCTCTCCTCCTGTTGGCAAGCTGTCTAGCACTGGGTCCATTCCTTTGGCTTCTCTGTAACTCCACTGCCAATTAACGGCCCCATGGTAAAGGGTCCAAAAATACCGAATGAATCGGGACACTTTTTTTTCCCTTTTTATCAATGAGTTTATCCTGATCCAGCTCTAATATTTTGTAAAATTCCAAGACAAAACTCAGTAAGAGAGCGAACTGTTCTTTCATTAAATCCTGAACACGGAACACTGGCTGTCAACTTACCGGAGCGAGGCTTAAATCCATAACCTGACTCATCTGCCTGTTGGCAGCAATGCCAGCTTCCTTCCTGTAAAGTGGTCAGGATGTCTACTAAAACCAACAGACATGATCTCATTTTATGAAACGCCTACTCTCTGTTTTAAAAAAACTAAATTATAAGTTTGATTCATCAATTAATCCCTAAGAGATCAATGTGTTTACTTACCTCTAATGATGTGCCTACTTCCGCCGTGTGGGAACCCGACCAGACTTACCCGCGCACCCTCTTACCTCTTCGTGGTCGTCGCCTGCATCCGGCTCCGGGTGTATAGCGAACCCAAAAAGGACCTGTTCGTAGCAACCAGCTACCAGCTCCATTCGGCAGCGCACGTGCCTCTTCAACTAGCCCCGCTCAGCTGAGAATGACGAAAGCGGATGCCAGAGGAAGTAGGGTCCTTCCTGCGTCGGCGCTCAAATTTACGTCACGAGCGCAGGCTGCCTTTTGGGCGCCTGCCTCCGTGAAAACGGTTTCAGAGCTCGAAGATCACGCGGAGCTTCCAAGAGGAGAATAAAGAAGAACGCCACATGAGGAAGTGCTCATGACGAGGAGAAAAAAGTTAGGGGCAAGCAGACATATCCTAGGTGGCTGCGAGCTAGACACGTCTAAGGGGAGTAGGGCGGGACATCCTCTGCGAAAGCCCCCTCGTTTGTGTGACGTCATGGAGAGGCGGGGCCTCTTTCAGCCTGGGCGGGGCTTCTGGCGGTATCGTGGGGTTAGTGTGGAGGCGGCTCGCCTGTGGGTTGTGAGACGGGGGACAGGAATTGGGTTTCCTTTTTGTGCAAGAAGCACAAACGAGCCTTTCTCTCTCACGTTCTCTCCTAAAAGGGCAAAGAGGGGGTGGCGTTCAGGCTTAGCGGTTTCTAGAGCCGCCCGCGAAGGGGCCCTGGAGCTCCGCTTCCCGCGCTTCTCTCTGCCCGCCGGGTAATCCTGCCTCGCGCACCTTTTCTTCCAGCCGGATTTGCTTGTCTGATTTTGGGGTCGCATTGGCCAACGTTGCCGCACACCCCGGGGAGGGAGGAGGACGCTTTACTTGAAAGGGGTAAAGACGGACTGATTGGGGCGCCTGGGTGGCTCAGTCGGTTAAGCGACTGCCTTCGGCTCAGGTCATGGTCCTGGAGTCCCTGGATCGAGTCCCGCATCGGGCTCCCTGCTCAGCGGGGAGTCTGCTTCTGCCTCTGACCCTCCCCCCTCTCATGTGCTCTCTCTCTCTCATTCTCTCTCTGTCAAATAATAAATAAAATCTTTATTAAAAAAATAATAAATAAATAAAGTTTCATTGGGCGCCTGGGTGGCTCAGTCGGTTAAGCGACTGCCTTCGGCTCAGGTCATGATCCCGGAGTCCCTTGGATCGAGTCCCGCATCGGGCTCCCTGCTCGGCGGGGAGCCTGCTTCTCCCTCTGACCGTCGCCCCTCTCATGTGCTCTCTAATAAATAAATAAAATCTTAAAAAAAAAAAAAAAAAAAGACGGACTGATTGAGGAAGAAGGGCGCAGTCATCCTACGTGAACATTCCAGAAGGAAATCTCACATTTCACTTTTCACCACCTCCCGGTTCAGGTGCACAATGAAACATTCATGAAAGCAAAGATTGCCTTGATTGACGTTTTAGATTTTCATAAGGTGTGGAGATTCAGAAATGGCAGCTTTGTACAAACCTAATGGAATACATTCTGGAGCGTCATAATTTGTCTCATAAAGGCCACGGCAGGTGGATTTGACAAGCAGGCACCTGTCGGTGTCAGTTCTTCAACCCTCGTTTATCGCTGATCCCGTAGCACTTTGACCCTTTTGTTTTCAAGAATATTTGTTCTCTGGGATTGTGAATTGTCACCACGTATCTAACTCGGGTTTATTTTCATTTACACTGGTTTGAGTCTTGTAGAAATGATTCTGCATGCTTTAGTTGTCATTGCAACCCAAGGAAGGCCTTGTCTTCTGCGCACTTCGGCGACTCCACCTGAAAGCCCTTCTCAGGCACTGAAAATGCTGTAGTCAAACTCTCGGTCTTGGAAACTCGTGTAGTCGTTCACTGTTTTATCCTAATTCCTTCACTTTGTGCTAATTACCTACAAAAAGTCAAGTTATTTTACTGTTTATTTTCTATTGACTGCTTCTTGACTGTTTCCACTGGAGAACCACTCAAGTGAGAAAAGTGTGAATTGCTGCAGTGGGTGTCCCCTGGGCATGGGACAAAGAATAAGCAAGACATTTCTTTCAAGTGTCATATTTTATCTTGAAAAATATGACTTACTGCATTTTACTTAATGATATATCCATTTATTTTAATGTAAAAGTGATATCCTCTCATCCAAAAAGAAATCTTTGAACAAACCTGTTTCAAGGGTCACCTGCGTGGCTTAGTTAAGTGTCTCCTTCGGCTCAGGTCATGATCTTGGGGTCCTGGGATGGAGTCCACATGGGGCTCCCTGCTCAGCGGGGAGTCTGCTTCTCCTTCTGCCTCCCCTCCCCCTGCTGTGCTCTCTTTCTCTGACAAATATATAAAAAAAAAATTTTTTTTTAAATCTTTTTCTATGTACTTTTGTCTCTGGAAAGCCCCTGGTGCTCTTCTTCTTTACCGCCAGGGAAATCTCAACTACTGTTTGATAAGAATTAGTACTCATTCAGTACGTTTTTTGAAATTAAATTTAGCACTGTAACAGGGTAATTACTATATTCAGCATCTATTACCAGATTGTCACATTTTTACCAGCTTGTCACATTTCAAAGAAGAACACTATGGCTTGAAAAAGTCTTTTGCTCCAACCAGGAATCTTTTAGAATATAGCTGGTTCTAGAATGAAAGCCATAGTGTAAACAACATAAACATAACTCAAAGTGGTGTACTTTTTCTTTTTTTTAACTGTTAGAAATTACTGGAACCAATTAGAGCTCGAAAGACCTTAAAGAACATTTATCCAGGTAATCCCAATCTAAGGGGGTTTATGGATAAGTCTTGGAGGCTTTGAATCCCCTGAAATTATATGCAAAATTGTGTATGTACAGTTTTGGAGGAGAGCACTGATAAAGGTTCATTACATTTTCAGAAGGATTAGTGTCTCTACAGTTAAAATGCACTCATCCAGTATGAGGTTATAAATGTGAAATTGGTCTAGAAAAGTAACTTTCAAAACCACACAGCTAAGTAACAGGCCTAGTGCTGCTGCTTTTTACATTTCCTTGGGCTCAAACTTTCTTTTTAACAAAGAAGAAAACAGTTTTTCACTCTAAAGAAAAGCAATACAAAATTACATACTTGTTCAACTGGATTCAAACTGAGCATACTTCCTGCAAACCTCCTGTTCTCTTTCTTAATGCAGGATGCAAAGAGCCATTTAATCTCATTCTTGTGAAAACTACAGTTGCCAAGAAACAACCGTTAAAAGTTCATTAACGCTAAAGCACAACAGGATTTTGTTGTTTTGCTTTTAAATTATTGATTGAAAAGCTTTCTACACTTGAGCCATGCATTGATTTATTCATTCATTCAACAAATATTTATTGAGTGCCTGGCTTTGGTTGGCTAAAGAAAAAACAGTTTGTTTTGGGAGTGGGGGGAGGCAGCAGTTGGTAAGGTGGATATACTGGGCTAAAAGCAGGATATAGCAGAGAAAATCAGCCTTGTTAGAAATATGAGAGTCTAATACTCCTCCTCAATTACCCTCCTTTCTCACTGTGGCAGGTAGCAAGTCTCAACTTTTAGGAAGGCAGAGGTGCATGTGCATATTCCCAGAGGATTTTGGTCTCTTTTTCACGTAGAGCTAAGGGAAGCTAAGAGTGGGTTACCTCCCCTGGACACTGGCCAATTGTCTGCCCTGGGATAAATTTGCTTCACCTGCTTCATGGGACTAATGCAGGTGAAATATGACAAGTCGGCATTTGGGGCTTTTAAGAGAACAAAACAATATTTATGAACCCTTCCTTGTCACTGTCATCAACAAAGCCCCTGAATGTCCATCTTCTCTGGGGTGATTCAACATGCATCATCGACATCCCTTCCTCAGCCTCCTTACCACCTTCTTATCAATGTCTAGCCTCTGCTTTCCTTTCTAACTACAGCTCTCACCCATTCAGACCAAAAATTGTGATTTTCCTTTTATAAAATGCAGCTCTAAAATAAGAGAAGGAACAAGAAACTCATTAAAGTCTTACAAAAAGAATCCTTAACTGGTATGTTTTATTTGATGGCCAAGCTGCTATAGTAGTTAGGAATTGAGTTTAACTTCATACAGTAACCTAAAACAGCTGTGGCTTAACCAAGACATTGATCTCTTAAGAGGAATCTAGAGGTAGCCAGGCTAGTGCTGGTACAAGGAGTCCACAGTCACCAGAGACCTAGACCCGTTTTCTCTTTCAGATCCTACGTTCTTGTGCTTGACTTCCTCCATGATGTCACCTCATAGGCCAAAATATGTGCAGAATTTGGGTTCCAGCCACCATATCTATGATCTCGGCACTCTGTCTGGGGAAAGGGTGGAGGACAATAGGCCTCCTTCCAGCTCAAACTCCCTTGGCCCACACAGCTTTCCTCAACCTCCTTATAATAGTTCTCTTTACATCTTACTAGCCAGACTTTGGCCAGTTGAGCACATCTACCTGTGCAGGGAAAGCTAGGAAATGTCTTTTAGTGAAGCCTATCTCTGCCCCCCAAATAAAGTCAGGGTTCTGTTATTAAGGAAGAAAAAAACTGAATAGTGGGTGGTGCCTAGCAATGTGTTCCACAGCTGTTCATCAATACCATCTCCCAGGAAGCTAGGGGAGATCTAGAGTAGGGACTCCACCTGCTTTGTGTAAGGAGGCCTTCAGTAAATAATGGTGAATGAATGATTTGAATCCATGCTGATTATTTTTTACATTCCAGGTAAATATAGACTACATACACCAAGCACTTTTTTTAAAGATTTTATTTATTTGACAGAAAGAGAGAGCAAGAGAGGGAACACAAGCAGGGGGTAGGGGCACAGGGAGAAGCAGGCTCCCCACTGAGCAGGGAGCCAGATGCGGGGCTCGATCCCAGGACCCTGAGATCATGACCTGAGCCAAAGGCAGACGCTTAATGACTGAGCCACCCAGGCACCTCATACATCAAGCACTTATTAATAAGCTGCAGGGAAATGGCCAGACCCGAAGTGCCCCTATTTGGACTCAAAGTTACCTTCTTACATTTTGACACATTGCGTAGGCTTGCTACTTAGAAAAACAGAATTTGAGTGAGGTCTAATCCAAATCTACTGAATCGGGACCTACCTTTTAAACAACATGCCGAAGTAATTCTTCCGCACGTTGAAATTTGGGAAGGCATGCTTTATTGTATTTTTAAAAATGATACTGAACCACAGAAAAATTTCTTTAAAATATTTTCTTGTACCGGCTTTAAGGGGCGGGGTGGGGGACGGTGCACGTGTTTGTGTGTTTTCCTTCAACTTCTTTCCACCAGCTGGTCAGCGTAATAATTTCAACCTGTAGAAAAGAGTCCATTAATTGCTGGTTCGAATAGTTAGCAGATAACTGAACTGAGGAAGGAAACGTCAACTTGTGGTTTCTGTCTTAAGGTTTTAGTTATTACAAGCGACTCAATTATTGTAGGGGGTGGGATGGAAACTTCAGTCAGTCCCTCAAACACATACTCCTCTCTGTCCCCACTGGCTTCCAGCTACCTTCCCTGGGGCCAGCATTTGGTAGAGGGGGGCTAGCAGGCTTAAAGCCATCTCCTTAGTTTGCAGAAGTCCCCCCAGGTGACCCCTATGGACTCCTGCTCCAACCACACCTTAACCCCATTGTAATGAAAGTCAAGCAATTCATTGCCTAGCAGGAATTGTCACTAAGTGTAATTACTATTCTCAGGCAGTTGTGAGAGGTATATGCTGGCGTGAGAGGTGTTAGCCCCCTTACCTGGAATTTCTGATACAGGAATAAGAACTGTGGAGACCTGGTCTCATTCTGCCAAGTTTCTGGATAAATGGCGGGGCAGGAGAGTTTTGCAGGTTTTGGAATAGCTCAACAAAATCATTATTACTGGTACTGGCAAAGGTAAGCTGTTTTTTCCCTACTCTGAATGAAAATACAGGCCATCCGTGCTCTATTTCTTACATGGTTTTTGGCAATTTACCAACTATTGCTTTGGAAATAGGTGTTCTTAAACAGTTAATGCAGAAATCATCCTTACCCTTACCCCTTAGCCTCCTGGGAAAGAAGAAAGAGTCCTGGGGTTCTGAATGATTCTGCCTTGGTTGGTGAGGTCATTCCTGTTGTCTCCTGTCCACTACTAGGGGGAAGCTAGTGTTCCAACCCTGCCAAGCTTACCACTCCGGCAACTGGTTTGAACACCAGCACAGCGGTTACTCCCTTTCTGTCTCCACCTGTGGCTGTGCAGCAGATGGAAATGGACTCGACCTTTCTGTGCGGGAGACCTCTGGACCCCCAGCTGAAACTCTGGTCCCGCCTAAGGTATCCCTCCCTGAAATAATTCCTAGATCATCCGCGTGCCCAACATAGAAGCATCTTTTTCCTGTCTTCACTCCTCCAGATGCTCTCATTCCAATTCCCACAGCCGTGGCTTTTGCTCCCCATTTTAATACCAGAGAGTAAAAGCTGATGACTGAAGAAATTCGGTGAACAATTTAAGTCATTACTATCTTCCAAAAACAAAATCCTAGGCTGATGACGTCTGTGCCTAAATTCTTACTACTAAATTTTAGATGACCATTCAATTGATTTTACTCTTAAAATAGGACTAGAGGTAGTTTTGTTTTGCAGTAGCAGAAAACATTAACACGCTTATCAAAGATATTCTAATATCTTGGTTACTAAAGTAAGCTATTTCTGAAATCACACAGAGGGACTAGAGTAAGGGAAAGCTTTCGCCATCCTTTTCCCCATCCCTTCCCTCTTCCCCATCTCCTCCCCCTTTAGAAGAAAGTCCTGTTCAAGTGCATCTACATCCTCTAGATTTTTCCCTTCTACTCTTCGTAAATCAGGGTGATTGGGCTTTATTTTTGTTTAGGGAGTTGGGGGAGACTTGAGCAAAAACAGACTGAGTAGTACATACTGGTTTACTCTTTGCTTCTGCTTATAGGTTGCATTAGATGTCACTGCCCCCCCCCCCACCCACCCAGTTCACCCTTTTAATAAAGAGCTTTCTTTAAAAGTTGCCCATTTGGATGTGCTGTGATATTAGCTCATCCCTTATTGACTAACATTTTGAATGTTCTCAGTGCTTTAAAAACTTTTACCTATCTCCAAGTATTTGAGTGGTTTTTGCCTAAGAATAAATTTCTAGAGGGGCGCCCGGTGGCTTAGTCCGTTAAGCGTCCTGACTCTTGATTTTGGCTCAGGTCATGATCTCAGGGTCAGGAGACCGAGCCCGGGTTGGGCTCTGGGCTCAGCGAAGAGTCTGGTTGAGATGTCCTCTCCCTCTCCCCTCCCCCTGCTTGCACACTCGCTCATGCACACACACTCTCTCAAATAAATCTTAAAAAATTCTGGAAGTGGAAGGTCTGGATCAAAGGATATAACATTTAAAATCTCAGACAGCAAATTACCAAAAAGCTTGCCTAAATTTACACTTTTCATGGCTGCTGGGGGTATGCTTGCCTCTCTATGTTTCTGCGTGTCATTAACCAATGTGACAAGTGAGGAAGCCATATGTCTATTATTGAGGGCAAATACCTTTTAAACTGTTTCTTGGTATCTGTGTTCTGTGACCTCATTGATGTCCTTTGCCCACGTTTTTTTCTGTTGGTTGTGCCCCTTTCTTCTGACTGTGTAGATACTTACATATTATGGAAATCAGCACTTAGTCAAAGTGTTAGTTTTCTCTCCAGTCTGTTTGGTAATGTCCTCCTTGTGGGATGGCCTGTGCCTTAACCCCAGAATTAGATTTAATATTTAAGCCCTCAGTTTTTAAAACTTGCATTTTGGGGGGGGAGGGGGTTTTGCCCAAACTTTTCATTTTCAGTTTTTCAAGTCTGTTTTAGGTGTGCGCCTTCTTCTATATAAAATATCTTGTTAGATTTCTTGGCTTTTTCTTTTTAAACCCAAGTCGGCCTTTTAGCAGATGTTTGATATTGCATCACTTACAAAAAAAATAAAAATCTTTTGCTACATTGCCTGAGGTTTTAGCACATTTCTTTCTTCTACCCCTTCCCTTTTTTGACCTTTTGGAAATGGTCTATGTGTCTTCTGGTGGTTACCTCTATCTTAAATAGAGAAGTGTAGGTTTGAGTATATTAGCAACTTTGGGAACGAAAGTGATTCCTGATTTCTGTGTACTAGTGAGAAAATGAAGAAATTAACACTGGACAAAGAAATAAGACCGTAAGACACAACAACAAAAGAACAAAGAAACATAAGTAACATTTTAAAAAGAAATTAATACCCCTTTTTCTCTTCTTTTCCCCCCCCCTTCTTTTCTCCATTTTTGTTGACACCTTCTGGGATTTTCATCCCACTCCAGGCAAATTATTACTATAATATGCAGTTTCAAGAATTATAAGTATATTCTTGTGCCACCTGCCTGCTTTCCTGGCGGGAGTTTTGGTTATGAAGCTGATCATCAAAATTCCAGATGGTAAGGCTGTGCCGGGCATCTTTTGCTCACATGCCCTTGCTTTAGTCTTGCCTAAGAAAGTGTGACCTTTGCCAGATGTCACAGTTTATTGCCCGTTTCCCCTACCATAGCACGCCTGTGTTCTTAGCTCTTATTTCTCCAAGAGCTTAGCCTCCTGAGAGCCCTCTGCATTTTGACATTGTGTCTTAAGATCAGAGGATGTGAATATCTTCAAAATGATTCTCAGGTCTTTGGGCTCCATAAGCGCATCTGTCCCAAACTCCCACTAGCAGAGGAAAACAGTTACTAGATGTGCCCTTCTTCAAGGATACCAGCACTGCCCAGGTGCCCCTCACACAAAGAGAAACCTCCATCTCCAGAGAGTATCTGCTCCCTGAACCCTGGTAATGTAGGATCCACATTTACCAGAACACGTGTTGAAAAGGAGGAAATGTGAAGTTATTTGGAAACTGCATTATAAGAAATGCCTCATTCAAGCACAGACTCTGACTGTCTTAGCCCTTTCTAAATAGGAAAAACATGCCAGCGGTGAAATTAAATTTATGGTAACATATAATTTATTTTCAAAACCAGGATCTATTTCTGATGGAAAGGGAGGCATACTTTCAGATAGATTGAAAAGAAGAACTAGGGGGTCTTTGGCTTTCAATATAATCTCAATCTTCTTAGCAAGGGAGGCTTAATTGAGTTCATTGGTGCCAGGAGCTACCAGGGCTCTTCCTGGATTGGTTGGTTCCTTGGAACAGCTGTACATCCTTAACAAAGACAGTTCCCAACAGGTGCCTATGGAGAGAAGTCATAGAAACTTACACTGTCCCAGGACAGCCAATAGGGTCTGGATTAACCAACCAAGATTTATTTGGGGAGTGCTTCTGGAATTTACTTCTTTGATTGACTGGTTTGCTTTTCTATAGTCTCTGCATCTGCTTAAGCACCTATTGTCCTGGTCCTTATCTGAGCCATGGGCTTGGGGTATGATTAGAAGGCTACAGGGAGAATGTGCTCATGAAGATTTTGCAAGTTGTCATCTGGAAGGAAGGGTAGACCACCAGGTAGAGAGTTGGGCATTTATTTAATGCAGGGACTATGGAGTCTGGATACCTGGGTCCCTGGTGTCTGGTTCATATTCGAGGCCCTGGGAGGCCAGTTAGTTCCCAGAAGCTTCAGAGAGCCCTGAGGTCTTTGTCAGGCATGTTCCTCCTTTATGATTTTTTCTTCTGTTGACTTCATCCACCTATTTTATAATTATAGTCCTTCATCATTTTGACAGCTAATGTTTTCTTTAAAAGCATGTGTTGATAATAAACCTTTAAGAAAAAAATTATTTTTTCTTAACATCCTGATTTCCTTATAGGAAAGCAGAGCTCTGGCAGAGAAGCAAGATGAAGACCCACTAGAAGGTAACAGAAACCCTATGTGGCCATGGTTGAAAACAAAACTAACCCATTCCAGGTTACTCATTACTCAGCTAGCTAGTAGCTGAGAGATTCTACTGGAAAATTCCTACGTAGGTCACGTAAGCCATTTTCTTCAGCAATTTGTCTGGTCTTGGGAAACTGCTTCTGTGGGAAGCTTGAGTAAAGCCACCTGTTTGGGTTTTTCTGAAGGACTAGGAAATGGGTACGTTTCCAAACAATAAGACAGTAACTTGTTTTTAAGATCTGTTTCTTCCATAAATGTAAACTTTGGGATTAATTCTGCTTTATTTTTTATTTTTTTAAAGATTTTATTCTATTTATTTATCTATTTATCTTATTTATTTATTTATTTATTTGACACACAGAGAGCGAGAGTGAGAGAGAGCAAGCGAGCACACAAGCAGGGGGAGGGGCAGAGGAAGAGGGAGAAGCCAGCTCCACACTGAGCAGGGAGTCTGACATGGGGCTCAATCCCAGAACCCTGAGCTGAAGGCAGACGCTTAACTGACTGAGTCACCCAGGTGCCCCTTAATTCTGCTTTAATTTTGATTGTTAAGGGGAAAAGTATCAGGTGATCACTGTGGCCTGGCCTCCTAGCTTCCCTCGGGGTTATTGGTTCCTGGAGGACATCACAGGCCCTGTCTGTGGTGTCAGGCAGTGCTCCTTGTAGTTCTTGATCTGTTTTGAAAAGAACAAAGTGCATCTGCTCAGAGCAGGACATGTTTCTGACTGTGTCTTCTTCGAGGAAGGAAGAAAGTGGCCTGTTTTACTTAAGTTATGGGAAAGAGAAGTGGGACAGACAGGCAGAGATAAGACCGTTGCCTACTTCTTATCACTTCCCCCACCTCCAGGGCTCCCCCACCAGACCAAAACCACCCACTGCCTTGTGACTTTGTAGTCCCAGTGACTAAGTCAGCAGGTTAACAGGTGCTCAGTGTTCAAATGAAATGCAACTGATGTTTAAAAGAAATCTTTAAATGCTATGGGGTAGTTCTAGTTTTATTGAAATATATTTGGCTGACATTCCAGCTCTCGGGGATTTCACTCTGGTTAAAGCATGAGTCAAATCTCCCTGCTTTCATCAGTCCTGCAGACATAATAAAGATTAGAGGAAAACCTACAAAGAGTGTGCTTTCTGGATGCAGACTGCCAGGGTTCAGATCTCACTTATGAGTTCTGTAATTCCAGACAAATTCATCTCCAGGGCATCAGCCTGTAAAATGGCATGTTAAAACCAACCTCTTAGAAAGTGTGAGGACAATAGCTCTAAAGTGCTTTTAAGTGTTTTAACAGCATCTGGCAGGTAATAGCCACTTCAGGGGTTCGCGTAAGCTCTTCGTACAGCTGGAGCAGCTCTGTCCAGGGGAAATGTGATTTGAAACACAAATCCACCCACGTAGACAGTTTTAAATTTTCTAGTAGCCAAATTAAAAAAAACAAACAAACAAACAAACTAAAAAGAGGTAGATGAAATTAGTTTCAATATTTGTAACCTACTATACCCAAAATATTTCATTTAAACATATAATGAATATGAAAGTGAGATTTTTAAAAATCTTAATAGCAAGTGTTCAAAATGCAGTGTGTATTTACGTCACATCTCCATGAGGACTAGCCTTATTTCAAGTGCTCAGTAAGCACATGTGGTGAGTGCCTACTGTGGTGGACAGCTTGGTCTCGAGGGCCCACAGGTTTAGGGAAGATGTAATTAGTTTGTCTTTTGTGGGTTTCTTTACCACTAGGGCCAACGTCACTGGAAGGGCCTAGATCATTAATCTGGGGTTCATAGCTGACCACAGTGTGTCTGTTTTCTAGGCCGTAGATGACAGGACAGGCAGTGGTCTGCTCATAAGCATGGTGGTGCTGACACCTTTCCTGCCACCAGGAATCTGCAAAGCCAGGAGCCTTCTAACAAACAACTGCCCATAGCAGTGAAGGAAAGGACCCTGGGGCTTGACCTTAAGAAAGAATTTCACGGGGCACCTGGGTGGCTCAGTCAGTTAAGCGTTGGACTCTTGATTTGGCTCAGGTCATGATCTCAGGTTGTCAGATGGAGTCCTGCCTTCAGCTCCATGCTCAGTGAGGAGTCTGCTTCCCCCTCTCCCTCTACCCCTCCCCCTGCCTGAGCACTCTGTCTCTCTCTCAAAATAAATAATCTTACAAAAAATTTTTAGAAAGTTAAGGAAAAAAAACAAAACAATAGAAGCATCTAATTTTATGACCAGAAGCTCTCAAAGGAAATGTAGTTCAAAAGAGATGGGAAGCTCTAAAGAATAAGAATTGGACAGCGTAGTCATGAATGACTCCAGAGAAGAAAGTAGGAAGTAGCTCATGAAACATATATGATGCATTAAGCCTCCTTGATGATCTTGGTTCTAAAATAAGTATAGAAGGATATTAGTCAGCTCAGGCTGCTATAACAAAATGCCACAGACTGGGTGGCTTGAATAACAAAGTTATTTCTCATAGCTCTGGATACTGAGAAGTCCCAAATCAAGGTGCGAGCTGATTCAGTGCCTGGTGAGAGGTCTCTGCCTGGCTTGAAGATGGCCACCTTCTCATTATATCCTCACCGGGCAGGGGGAGAGAGCGCACCAGTATTGGTATCCTTTTTTGTAAGGGCACTAATCCCATCAGACTAGGGCCCAACCCTCATGAGTTCAACCAACCCTAATTATCTTCCAAAGTCCCCATCTCCAAATACCATCACATTGGAAGTAAGTGTTTCAACCTATGAATCTGGGGGGGACACAAACATTTAGCCTGTAATAGGCATACAAATACAAAGGAGTAGCATGATCCCATGTATTAGGAAGTAAAAAAAATTACAGTCCTGAATGAGCTAAGGCTTGCAAAAATTACAAAGGAAGAGAGGGCTTCTTTGGTTACATTCAGAACAGGGAGACAAAACAAGGGATGGCATTAAAAACCTTGGAAACCCAGCAACTTGGAAGTAATATCTAGGTCTGATGCTTTCATGATAACTTAACACCACCTCATCATAGGGTTCCAGGTTTTAAAGATGAAAGGCCAGGCTTCCCTCTGTTTCTGAATTAATTGCTCTATATAGTTTGCATCACTTACATCAACCTGTTAATTAAGCAAATAAAGCAACATGTTTATTGTTTCAAAGCCCCATCCTATGGGTTTGGTCTGGGCTCCCTTACAGTGTCCACCCAGGGGCTCATGCTAGAAACTCTGGGCTCGTCCTTGACCCTCCCTTTCTCTTTAGCCCCAAAGTGAGTCCATTTCCAAATACTGTCCATTCATCTCCCAAACCTCTCTTGAGTCCATCCATCTCCTCCATCTCTTCCACCATAGAGATGCTCATTGAGTCTGGTAGTGGTGCTTTTCCAGCTTTAATTTCTATTTTCAAATCTTATTGAAAGGAAACATGCAATTTAAAAATTCTAACATGAAATGTCTGCAATATTTTCCTGCTCATTTTTTTTGAAACTCTGATTTTAAGCCATTGCCAATATGTGTCCTATAAAACGTATTTTTTTCATATGCATTAATTGGCTCCAGATCCAAACCTTCATGTGAATATTGAGGAATTAAACAAGGAGTTTATGATGAAAAGTGAGGAACTCTACGACTCTCTCATGAGTTGCCACTGGCAGCCTTTGGATACGGTTCACTCTGAAATCCCAGATGAGCCCCTGGAGAAGCATGATGTTCATTAAGCTACCCCACTGTTCTATTGATTGCCTCCTGTTTTGTTTTTGTTTTTGCAACAACAAAAATTCTCCCAGGAATGTACTGGATGCTATATGTAAATGCAGATCTCCAGGTCTTGATTGTGACTGACATGATAAAATGTGATGTAAATAAACTTTACCAGCACATCCATTTCTGGAAGTGTGTTATATTAAATAAATGCCAGAAGAGATAACCTAACTATCATGGTAGACCAAGCTGAACTATAAGACATTTGAAAATAGGTCTAATAGGAAAATGGGCCTGACGTGAACCGGTTGGGACATTAATGGATAGACGTGTAAATATATAAAGAGTATGGTAGCACATAATCTGTCTTGATGGGAATTCATAGCCAGAAGTTGGCAGGTGAACGATGATCCTTTAAAGTTTGGGGCAGCTTTGTAATGAAACTCAGCTTGGTGGGGCAATATATATCCTAACATGCAGAAATTGAGAATATTTGATTAAGAAGGCCTAGATTTAGAATAAGAGAAGAATTGAGTGAAAGATAAAATGAAACTATCAGCATAAATGTATATGTTGGAAAGGCTCCTGCCCTGTTGCTGGAATAGCCCACACTGCCTCTGATCTCCTGCTTATCACTATTAATCCTATGAAAGGATAAACATCCGGCTTAAGCATGAGGATGTCTTTACATCCTCTATTACCAAATGGGACGAGGGTACAATGGGAGGTAGCAAATGCTGGGTTGTGGGGCAGAGAAGGCAAGAACGACCACATATCTCTATTGGAGATCAATGATTCTTCAGAATTTTCAGGTTAGTGATGATGGGGACAAATTTGAATGTGAGCAGAGGACTCCTCGTGATAGAAACCAGATAGTGGCAAATGCAGTAGGAAAAGCAGTGATTACTGCCAACTGGAACCAATGATAGCTGCAGAAAGGGGCAGGAGCTCTCCATTCTAAACAAGAGAGAAATGGACAAAAACACAGATGTTTACAGTGTTGACATTGGTGTAGTTGGATGCCTCTAGTAAATTTCTGGGTAACGGGTCATCTGTCACTGGTTGGTGTGGCCCTGTGAAGTCCTCAGACCTATTCAAGTCCTTCTGTTGAGAGTTAACAGTGACCTGATTGGTTGTGATAACCCCCATTGGGCCTATGTTGTGGATCAATGTGGGTCATAGATAATCAACAGTGACTTCACAGTTCTGTTTGTGGTTCTTGTGTCCATGCAGATGAGCACCTGAGAGCAAGGGCAGGAAGTATTTCTGTTCTGCAAGCAGAGAGCTAAGAAAACCAGAGATGGAACCTTGTGCTCACCACTTACTGATGACCACTACTTGGAAAAATGTTTTAATTTCTGGTACTACGATGTTTTGCTGAAGAACAAGAAAACCATTGGGCCAATGAGATGGATCCCCAGTGTCTGATGAGGCAACTTTAGGATTGTGTGGACCTATGGCCCCTTGCTTCTGATCGAGTAGCCTTCATGGAGATGGGGCCTGGGAGGATTAGGCTCTTCCTTAGGATGGAAGTGCTGTGAGCTGACCGCAGGGTGGGCCTGTGGTAGTGTACATTGATTGTTGTAGGGTGCCTTGAGACCTAATGGTGTGCTTCAGTTTTCCTTGAGTGAACTCTATTGGGGTTTCAGCAGGAATCTGCAGGCCAGCAAGAGTCCTAGAGTTACTGAGATGTGACCTGTCTTAAAAACAAGAGGGAGAGGGGATGTGGCTGGCATCACTACTTCCTTTATCCACTGTGCCTTCGGTAAACAGGCTTTTGCCTCAACAGTCTGCATGTTGTATAGTTGGCACTTGGTTTTGTCTGTCAGCCTATCTTTTCTAGGACATGCTTTTCTGACTCAAATCTTAGAATGATTCTTTTTTTTTTTTAAGATTTATTTATTTGGGAGAAAGAGAACAAAAGAGAGAGAGAGCGTGCATGAGCGGGAGGGGTAGAGGGAGAAGAAGAAAGAATCTCAAGTAGACTCCATACTGAGCGCAGAGCCCAACACGGGGCTCAGTCCCACGATCCTGAGATCATGTCCTGAGGTGAAACCAAGAGTCAGATGCTTAACGGACTGCACTAGTCAGGTGGTATTCAAATCTTGGGATTCTGGTGAGGTCTTTTCTATCCTCAATGGCCCTTCTTCTTTTTTTTAATTTTCTTTTTTATTATTATTAATATATAATGTATTATTTGTTTCAGGGGTACAGGTCTGTGATTCATCAGTCTTACACAACACACAGCACTCACCACAACACATACCCTCCCTAATGTCCATCACTCAGCCACCCTGTGCCCCCTCCAGCACCCCTCAGTTTGTTTCCTGAGATTAAAGTCTCTTATGGTTTGTCTCCCTCTCTGGTTTCATCTTGTTTCATTTTTTCCTCTCTTCCCCTATGATCCTCTGCCTTGTTTCTTAAATTCAACATGTCAGTGAGATCATATGATAATTGTCTTTCTCTGATTGACTTATTTCGCTTAGTATAATACCCTCTAGTTCCATCCATGTCATTGCAAATGTCAAGATTTCATTTTTTTGATGGCTGTGTAATATTCCATTGTATATATATATACACACCACATCTTCTTTATCCATTCATCTGTGGATGGACATCTGGGCTCTTCCCATAGTTTGGCTATTGTGGACACTCAGTGACCCTTCTTCTTGATCACAGCTGATGACTGTTCTATTCCTGGGCTCTGATACAGCCTAAGCCACAGTACCTGCCTCAGTAGATTGGCCAGAATGATCTCATGACCTAGTTGAACCATCAAATCTTCGCTCAAATTTTTGAAGACACTCAGCCCTCTGGTGGTGAAGCTAGGAGAGATGGGGCCCAGGAGCTGCTGTAGCAATGTCTCCTATTCTGGGATAAAGTTAATTTACAGAGAGAAGCAAGTAGTCATGCTAGCGGGAGAGAGTCAGGTGGTGTGTATTCTCTAGTTTTTGATTTTTGTACCCAATCATTTTCAGGAATCATTAAGTTTCCCATACAATTCCATTGTTGGTTCAGTTTCCCTCATTGCAACCCAGTGTGTCCAAATTTAAATCAAGTTCTTAATTTGCTCATCCCATGTGGGCAGGTTAGAAAGACTTGGGTGGTGGTCTCCATTTTCATTCTGCTAGTTAACAACCTCTGAGGACTGCATGTTCTGTCTTACATTTTTCTCAGGGTAAACTCATCCACTCCTATTCCACTCTATGCATTCTGGGCAAGAAGCCACATTTATGTTTGCAGCACAGACCTTTCTTTTGAGCTCCACATTATGTGTATCTTTATCTTACTGCTTACTTGATTATTCACCTTGCATGCCAAATAGGTGTTCCCAAATTACCAAATTTGTAATGGACTGTTCTTAGTTTTACCTCTATTAATAAGTGCCATGTTCAATCAAGCAATGCTTGAGCCCCATGTACTTCCCCTGGAGGGATTTAGAGGTGGGAGAGGGGAGATGGATAACTATATGAATTTACTGCTATTACTGGAGGGTAAGTTTTGGGCTCTCAACTCCAGAGAAAGGTAAAGATTTGGGTTGCAGGATGGCAAAGCCCCCACCCACACTAGTGAAGATCTGGCCCAGGTGGGGTGGTGGGAGCTGACCTTCCTGCAGGGGCTGCCCTCACAGGTGCTGGAATAGAACACTTTTGCAGCAGGGTTAAAAAAAAAAGTGTTGTTTTTTTTTTTTTTTGCTGGTAAAATACACATAATGTAAAATTTACTATCATAACCATTTTTAAGGTACAGTTCAGTGATATTAAATACATTCATATTGATGTGCCACCATCACCACCATTTGTCTCCAGAACTCTTTCAACCTACAACACTTACATCCTGTACCCAGTGAATAATACCTCCACATTTCCTACTCCTTCCAGCCCCCCAGAAACCATGGTTCTACTTTCCGTCTCTGTGGATTTGCCTCTTTTGGGTATTTCATATAAATGGAATCATATAATATGTCATCTTTTGTGTCTGGCTTATTTCCCTTAGCATAATGCCTTCAGGGTCCATGTTGTTGCAAATGGCAAGATCTTTCTTTTTTATGACTGAGAAATATTCCATTGTTATGTATACACCAGAGTTTGTTTATCCCTTCATCCATCAATGGACACTTGGGTTGCTTCCATGTTTTGGCCATTGCAGATAATGCTTATATGAATGCAGCAGGTTCTGAAGGCTGGGAGTTACATTCTGTTACCAGGGCATCTTGTACAAAGAGGCCTGAGTTCCAAGTAATAGGGCTTTTGTCAATCAGTGTTCTTAGCTCACTAGCACATTCCCCAAGGTGCTATCTGGCCAGGGAGGACAAAGACCACTGCCACCTCAAAAGCCAGTTCCACTGTCTTTCTTCTTGGTAACCAATGCTTCCGCTAAGAAGTGAGACCAATTTTCACAAAGCTCACAAAATTCAAGGGGTTTGGTTGCACCTTTTTCCTGGGAGAACAATGCTCTTGGCCTGTAATTCCATGCATGTTTAATCCTTTAATGATTTTTGGCACAAGAAGGATCTTGCTTAGCTTTACGGTGACTTTCTATGTATGAAATAGCTGGACCCTCCTCTCGGAAAGATGGGGAAAGGTACTTAGTTTTATCTCCTTCATTGGGGCAACCCACAAAATGCGTAAGGACTTTGATTAAATGGATTAGATTGGTGGTTAAGCACTAGGAAACAGCCACTTGCGACAAGGTGCCAAGTGCAGAAGATTGAACTTTGTTCCAATGTCATCTGTCTTCAGAGTGACTTGAGGATATTCTTACTGCAAGTTCACAGACTGGCCATAGGTCTGCAATATGTTTTAGGCAAGATCTGGGGTGAAAGTAGGGCACGTATTCCAAAATGAGAATTATTGGTTTTCCTATTGCAGTATATTCATATTTGTAGTATATTCTTATTTGTAGGATATTCTTTAAAGTAGCTCATAATTTAGGAGCAAATACCAATCTGGTTCCACTGGGATTTCAGTATGATTTAGGGCTCTCTCATGAATCCTCAATTCTAGGCATTCCTATG